GTATTATTAATTAGTATTTTTGGACTACTATTAAGGTGATAATTATGATCATACATCATACAACTAATAATATAATATTCATATAATATTACAATAAATTACAATAAATTATTTATTAATTCGTATTTCGTGTGTGGTACTGTAGACCAGTACATGTACTATACACATCTTCCCCGTTGTAATAGTTCTGATGACTTCCACAAGGTAGCGCCTGTTCCGCTTTCAATCGCGAATAGGTAGTTCATGGTTTATTGCATGCCCATAGTATTCTTGTCTATGCATATTGCATGCAACTCCCCAACCAATTAACACAAATCAGTAGTGCTCTTATTGTCGGGTCCCGCTCTGGTGGCGCGCTCTAGTAGTAATTTGTATTTTAATAATTTATTACTCATTCAAAGATTAAACAAATAGATAAACATTTTTACTGTTATAAATTTATAATAGTAATTATTATTTAAAAGTATAAAAATATAAAAACACCTAAAAATTAATATTATACTAAATACGTTTATAGGCTATAAAAGAATAAAACATTTCAAACTCTACAAAGTCAACATTCCCAACACTCTAGACGCAGCACTCGGACCGAATGCAGACACTACCTAGGTACCCAATTTTAACTTTTTTAAGAAAATCTGAATTGTTTGATTTAATTTAATTAATATAATTAAGAATATACATTAAAAAAATAATTGTAACTATTATAACATCAACAACTAATGGCCATTATCGTCGATGTTTTGTTTAAGAACGATTAAAAAAAAACTTCTAAAAATGTTATTTTGAATATTGTTAAATTGTTATATAACTACTGGTATAATATATTATGTTCATTTTTGCTTACTTTTGCTGTTCTATTAGATTTTATATCCATAATATCTACTGTTTTAATAGATTCTTCTGAAAAATGTGACTTGCATAATCTATCCCCAATTTTTAAAGCTTTACCAATAACTACTCCCCAACTTTCCAACCGATCTTGTGTTACACGAAATGTAGGTACTCCGGTGGTGGTACAATTACATATAGAACATTTACGTGTCATTTTTATAAAGTAGTTAGTACTTTGGTACTTAAGTAGTCACTACTTGTAGACCTTTATAAGGACAATGTGCCAATAACATGGGTCTGTATATTTTGGCGGTATTTTACAGTCATAGGCTCATAGATTTTTACTATGAGCAAAATAATGCCGATAATATTGAATGGATCGTTAAGCCTATTTTTTAAGTCGACAATCATCGAAATAATAATATTTTGGTGCTTGGCCGGTAGATGGCGCCACCAGAGCGGGACCCGTCCACAGATATATAAAAATATTTAATAATTATCTAATAATAATCTATTTATCTAATAATAATTTTTATATATCTGTGATAAAATATGATTATTGATCATTGATAAATAATATTTGATAATTTTCTAAATAAACGTTTAGAAAATAATATTATAAATAAATTATAATGAATAATAATAAATATTAAATACCGAAATGCGTAAGAACCGCGTTAGACGATGAATATGAATAGTCAGTAAACAATAGTCTGTTAGTTGACATTGACGGTTGACTAACCCTGGGGCCAATGAGAACTGTGAAGATTGATGTAATATTTTTTTCTATGATTGCTGTGGACTGGTAACTGGCGAGTAATGAGTATGATAATATAAATTAATAACTAATAAGACGTATTATATACCTACTATATGTATATATTACGGGTACTATATTATGGCATTATGCTCAATGGTCCAGAGTCCAAACGTGGTAACTTGGTTATCTGTGAAGATATCGAGTTGCCTAATTATTGTCATAGCACCCGACAGCCGCCACCCACTATTATTTACAGCTTTTGTTGAAAATTGAAATAATACGACATAATAATTATTATTCATCGTAGACCAAGCATACTCATAGAGGAAAAATACAATAGAATTGCGTAGGTGTCGACAATTTCTAGACTCTGGTTAACTGTCATGGCACGCTATTAGTAGTAGAAAAACAAGCCACAAAACAATAATTAAAAAACTTCAACCTATAACTTTATTTGTATTCATATTTACAATAAATTATGAAGACGTAAAGTAAATTAAAACTGTTTGTAATCAAAACACGAAAAACGGTTCGTGTTCAGCATACTTCTTATTCCTTATACTGCATAACAGCTGGCTAAACAAGATGTAGAGAAGAGATCTATAGGTACAACGTGATTCGTAGGCACTAAACTGCCTCTCACCACAGAATAGATTAAAATATTAAATACATGACTAAATAAATTCTATTCTATATTAAGTCCATATCATATTATCATATTATATTCTGTGTTTCACTATAATTATATCAGCACGATAGCACGAATTATAGCAGCATAATAGGTAATTATAGTATAATTGATTATATTTATAAAAAAAAATTATATTTTACTGAAAAAAAATAATTTCTTATTAAATAATAAATAATAAACTTAAAAAAAAAATGGGGGGAAAATGTCCGCATCGAATTTATATTGGGGGGAAAATGTCCTACTACGCCAAAAACAGTCGGGGGGAAAATGTCCGGGGGGAAATTGTCCGCCATTCGTGTAGATCTACGGTAGGTACATGAAAAGAAAATGAATAATGATATCTAAAAAAGTGTTTTAGATTTCAACAATTGGTAACACTTTTTGAGAACTCGATAACAACAACAAACTATCGAATCGGTTTTCATTTTTATATAATCACTTATCACTATAGTTATGTTTCACGGTAGTCGAAAAGTGGAGCAGGCTGGAAGTCTGGAAATCTACTGGGACTGTTCCATAGAAAAAAGATTCATTGACCAAATCCTCAATATTTTGGTTTTGGACGTTTTGCTATTAAGATTCTGGTATGTGATCTATTATCTTAGTGGTTTTATTTATAGTTTATTAATTTTTATAAGTATACTTATTCTATCATGTATTTATGTATATTATATTGACTTTGATATGATATATTATATAAGTAATACTTATTACTTTAAAAGTAAGTTCATATAACATTGAATTAATTTGAATTTTTTTCCCTATAGGTATACTCAGAGCTTAAAGTAGGAAAAAATTCCATGGGGGACTAATGTCTCCTTATAGTTTTAAACATTCCAAATATAATTTTGTATAATGTTTTGTGTCTTTATGTATAATATTGAATGTAAATGTAATTTATAAACAGTGATTGTGGAAGCATACTCATCCCACTTTTAACTTTTGAAAATTTTAATCCTAATTTGTTAAAAGGGGCGCTTTTAACCACCGTCAGAGATGGGGGAACTACGTCCTCCTGTGCTGCTTCACATGAAGTCTTTAACCCCTGAGTATAATTAAGTGTGTAATATATACCATTTTAGCAGTAAAAAATATTCATTATTTATCTTTTTTCTATAGTAGGTATACATACGAAGTGAGCCAGAAAGAGCTGATAAATTTAATAAACTGTGATAACTTATTACAACCCCACCATGCATGCTCACCCCCATTTAGACATGGACTGGTAAAAAAAGGCATATTTTAAAACAAATAGATTATTTATAAAATCCCAGCATCCCAGCCAGACCTCGCCTGCCACTACTTTTCCTTTAAGACTATTCAAATTCTGATTTTTGGAATTTTTAAAATATATACATTAATTTTTTCAAATTCTTGAATTTTTTTGTACTACTGTAATGATCAAATCTTTTTTTTTCAAATGAGACCCCCCCCCCCCCCCTTTACTGTAATTATTTAGTGAGTAATTTTTTTGAAAATTTTGTTGCACTTAATTCAAAATTCAAATGAATAGTTTGTTTCTTAATCATTAAAATATTTGTACTAAGGATAATAGGCCTTAAAATGGTTTTACAAAAATATAAAATATATGTAATATTAGAACTAGTATTTGATATATTTGGCCCATTTTTGATAGATTAATATTAATGACTAAAATGTTCAAATCACCATAGCCCCCATAACTTATAATCCCTTTAATGGTTTTATAGGCCTTTCATCCTTAGATCACAAAATTATATAACTCAAATACTACACTTACAAATTTTGATTTTGATGTCAATTTTTTCAGAAAAATTACCACTGAACAATTTACAGCTTAACAGAGAGGTTCTCATTTGAAAAACAGAAGTTTGTATCCCCCCAGAAGCCGCAGCGGACTGGCTACTTTTGGTCCAGGGTGCAAAATTAATTAGGGGCCCGTAAATTTTTTTGAACTTACTAAAATTAGAAAAGAGTTCTACATTACAATAAGAACTAAATTTAAGAAAGGGCCCAAAAATGGTAATCGGGGCCTGTATTATAAAAACAGGGCCCGGAGTGCTACCGGCTTATAACATTCTGGACCAGTCCGTCCCTGCTCAGAAATACTTAGTTAAATACTTGGTTAAATACTTTTGAACTAATTCATAAAATGTCAAAAACTTGAAAATTCCAAAAATCAAATTTTAAATAAATGCATTAAGTATTGAAGAAAAAAAAGGATCTTATCATGCTTGGTGAATTACCCTGTATATATTGATTATTAATCAATAATTTTAATTCAATAAATTCTTTTTCTAAATTAAAATATACATAATTTGTCAAACCTTTCTGTTACACCCTGACACTGACTGGTGAAAAGTTTGTTTCTTAGTTATGAGTTTATGACTAGCTTTCTCAGTTCTTTCCTGTGCATAACAGTTTTTGCTACGTTGTATATTTGTAAGACGGAGACAAATTTCAAATTAACCATCACATTCTGTACAATTTTTATTTCAAAATCCTGTACTGAATGCACTGTAGATGTTTTACTGAATTAAATATAAGGTTATTAAATCATTCTTATACGTCCTATCTTAGACATCTTCATTGTTTATATTATACCTGCTTATTAATAAAATTTGACATCGCTTTATATATATTTTATCATCTTAAATTTGTTATAAATATATTATTTTTATATCACATATTATTATACATTTATTATTTTTCAGAAATACAAGATCAGCTGAAAAAATGGCTTCATATATGTTTCAAAAAACTATAACATCAATTTGTACATGTGGCTTGCAGAAACTTTTACCTGACCTTTTTTTCTGTCGTCATTGTATTACACTTCGTTGTGACTTCTGTGTTAGTCATGAAATTGACACAACTTACTGTCCTCATTGTTTTGAAAATCTATCATCGACCGAAGCCAAACATAAGAAAAACCGGTGTGCTTCTTGTCTAGAGTGCCCACGATGTTTTAATACTCTTTCAACACGTTCATATTCTCGAACACCTGAACCAAAAAAACCACCTCAAAAAATGTATTACTTACTCTGTTTATTTTGTAACTGGCGATCACATGAGCCAAACATACCTGATCAGCCAACTTCTTCAGGTAACTGGCCAGTAAACAAAAATCCAGATGATGGTCGTATACTGGATTTAATCAACTATTATAAATCTGTTTCTTTAAAAGAAGTATTTGATAAGCAGAAAAGGAATACTAAACATTATGGTCGTAATTATATGCATTTTTTGGAAAAATTTGGTTTAAATGCAATGATGGCTCGGAAAAAGGTAGGATTTCCAAATTTTCATGCGGATGGTACTGGTTTTAGTACTTCAGAAATTAATCCAGCTGAAGCCATTGAAAATGTTCCTGAATTATCTTCAAACACATTTGAAGATATTGTAGATTTGAAACAAATTTCAACTTTAGAACAACGTTTTGCAACTCCTGAACTTCAAGCAGAAAATACTGATGATCTGTTTCCAATTCGTAAACATCTAAGAGTAAAACATTCTTTACGTTGTCGTGTATGTGAACATAACGTTGTTAAACCAGAATATAATGCTGTAAAGTTTAAAATCAAACATTTAGCTTATTATTATGTGCCAGAAATAAAAATAATCAAATGTGAACCATTACTGGCCGGTAAATGGAGTTCCTTGGTACTTAAGTTATGTAATCCATCACAAGCATCTACAGCTGTACGTTTTGAAAAATTAGATTTAAATGCTATAAACATAATTAGAGAGCCAAGACAACTGGAAGGGGAAGATCTAATATCTACGCCTAAGCAATTGCCAGAACCAATTCCTATTGTATTAGAATTACAGGGTGATATTATAGTTCCGGAAGGTGAAATAAAAATTGCAGCTAGAGATGATACAGCTGAATATGATGATACAAACGAAGTAAATACAGACAACGATGACCCAAAATATGTATATTGGAGAAAAGGCAACAAAGTTGCATTAAAATTTGAAGTAAAGCCTAATGAAAATATTAAAAAAAATGAAAATGTACAATTAGGATTTGTTATGCATTTTATGTATTCGGATACAATGTTACATGTGATTAATCCAAAACAACCTCAAACTGTATTAGTGCCGATAAAAATTGTACTGAATTTACCTAACTCTTTTTAATTTTTTATTCAAAAATTAAAATTAAATTAATTACATTTGATATTAAAAAAATAATGATATATAATTTTCAAGGATATAAATATAGTCTTGTAATGAATGATGAATATGAAACAAAGTATTAGGTATTGTTCTACTTATTAATAAAAAAAAATGTTATGCTATTTAAGGATTAAATATATGTATATAAATTATTAGTTAACATTGTTTACCTTTACCAATATTGAATCCAGAAAATATTTAATAATTCATTTATTGTACTATAAGAAAAAAGATATTTTTCAATACTCTTAAAATGTTAAATGATTGTTATAATAATATTGGTCAAATAAAAAATTAATCATAGATAACCTAAGTATATTGTAATATAAATTTAAAATTACAAAGTAATTACATTTTCATTGTTTGGTTAGGAATAAATAATTCATAATTGCAATAAGTTTTACAGCATTAATTTAACATTTATTAACTATTAAATAATATATTGGTTTTTACATTATATACTATAAATTGTATGTGTTCTTTTTTGAATATTAATTATTTTATTTTAATGTATATTTTAAATCAAGTATATTGTACCAAATATTGAATGTATATATTTAACTAAAGTATAATGGGTTCAAGAAAAGTTACTTTTATTTGAACATAGTTCGGGTTAAAGTTTCGTGTAAAAATAAATTCATGTTTAAAATACAATGGGCCACCTATATATGTAAATTGACACTTAGAAGTAAAAATCTCGATGGGCCGATGCCAATCCGGCCCTGTAGATACGTCATGAATATTTTGAAATACGTGTTTCTGAAATTATACCCAACAAGTAACCAATTTAACTTAATACACTCATTGTTGCAAAAATTAAATTATTTACATAATTTTAAGTTGTTTAAAAATCGTTTTTATTTAAAATGTATTTTTTATTATCATTTTTTAATTTATTTAATGACAAAACGCATTTTTAATTTATTCTTTATTCAAAATCAAAATATTTGTTGGAGTACTTTGGTGTATATAATGGATTTATTTATTTAAATTATGCCCTTATGCTTATGACATAAACATACAATATCTTAGAAATTAAAAAAATTATGTACCCGAAATTAATTATTATTAATATTTAAAAACAAACTAATGATCTTGAGTTCGTAGATGAAACATAATATAATATGTAAAATTAAATATAGATAATTTAATTAAAGATCACATTAAACAAAGTTATACCTTCCTGGCTTCCTAAATTTATTTATCAAGTGACAATGAATTTATTTAACTATGTATTTATATAATAATGATAGCCCACGAAATCAGTTAGTTATAAGCACCTAGCTTAAGTTTAGATAAGTACTAAGTAGTGTGGAGGGATTTAGGGGTTCATACAAAATGTTGGTCCCTTTACTCCACTCATCTAAACTTTAAATATTTATAAGTTATAACTACCTATGTAATATATAAATTAAGATTAAAATAATACACTAATAATTGGAAATTTCTGTATAGATCAAAACACTCCGAGTAATATTCTGCTACGGAATATTAAATAAAAAAGGTGGAAAAGTGGGTACTGGCTCATTTGTACAGTAGGTGTTGGGTGGCCGAGTCAGTGCCATATTTATGCAAGGACAAATGAAACATTTGCACTTCACCCACCGACTTCAAGCAAACAATTATCAAAATAGTAATTTTATACCTTTTTATCATAGGTACTGTAGAAAAACAAAAAAGATTTGTATATTTTGGTGGGTTATAAAGTACCTATTATTAATTTTCCCACTAAACGACGACTTTGCCGGTAACAAAATCTAATAGCCGTTATTATTGTAATATCGTCGTATTATTACTATTATTACGTTATTGTCTTGCGTTGTTACGTGATATTCGTCAGTAATATGTATTGCCGTATTGGTAATTCGTTTATCATTTTTAATAATTTAAAATTTCAAAAAAATACTTAATTTGTTCAATGAATAGAAAATTAAAGGATAGGCGAGATGAAGAAACAGAAAAATTACACGGTAGTATTGGCGCAACTAGGGGAGGGAGTGCTTTGGGTCCTTAGCACCCCCTAAAAAATCGTTAGGTTTTAGGTCTCATTGAATCACAAAAAAACCTGGAACTTAAGCATCCCCTAGTTCAAATGTCTAGTTGCGCCAATACACGGTAGTTTAGATAAATTTACGTTTAACTAGTTTATCTACCTATTAGGTATATAGCGCACAATCGAAATGTTTGTAAAAGCTGATTAGCTGAAATCAAATTTGACTTTAAACTTAACTTTAACTTTGACATACATATAAGTATAATAATCAAAAATATAAATTAAAAAAAAAAAAAAAAGTTTGCTGTTTAATTTGTATACTTACTTGAATAAATATTAAACATTAATTATAGACGCATTGAAAGTGTAAAGTGTTCTTGTATATTAAATAATCAAAATTTCAACACAATTTTATCCTATGATCTAACTACTCATGTATATGCAACTAATTTAAAAATACAATATGTAGATATACATTTTATATTAACATTGAAGAAAGTATAGAAATTAACATTTGGGGCCCAAAATTGAAAGTTGTACTGGGCGCATAAATTGGTAAATCAGGCCCCGGGCCGAGTGGGTCACTACTCATTATGAATTATAATTTATAATGTATGTGTTAAATTTGAATTCAAAGATATAATATTATCATTGTTTACGAACAACGATTCTAAACGATACTCAAGCTAGGTGGTCTGTGGGTCTATCAGCCTATATTATTGAGGAGGCAATACATAGGTACTAAGTATGTATTTTACTATTAATAAATAATAATACAGTATATCTTTTACATATTTTATTGATTACAGTATGAATTATTTATGAGAAACCTATTGTTATACATTTTCAATCCTTAGTTCTAAAAATTTAAAAATTAACAATTTTTTAACAACAAAAAAATTTGCAAATTTTTGTGATTTCGATGAATTTGTCATCATTTGAGCTTCAAATGTTAAAAAAAAAATCGGGCCTATATAGGTATAGGGGGTTGCTACTACTGCCACGATAGTTCACTGCCACGATATTATAATGCTCCGAACATATTACTCCGAATGTAAAATGCTACGAATACAAGTTATCCGATTATATACAACTACGAAGGTAGATCAAACTACTCCGATATTATTAATATTATATTATTATCATTGATAAACTGTAATATCAATTGATATTACCATAATTGATAATATTAGTGTTATTAATTAATTTATTTATTTTAATGTAAACGGGATGAACATGAACCCAAATACCCAATCACAAATTAATAGTTACTACATTAGTAAACTTAAATCTATTTAGTTGACTGTAATGGCAGTAATATAAACACAAAAACAAATAAAATAATTATAAAATAATAATAATAATAATAATAATATCTTGAATAATAATACAAATAATAATATCTTAATATAATAAAAAAAAAATATTAAATAATAAATAATATATATACCTAATATAATACTTATGTGTATAATGGGTAATATAATCACAAAAACCATAAAAAGCATGAAAATTAAACAAATCAACCTGGACATCATTAACTAATTTCATTAATCTATTTAAAAGCGAGACAAGTGCATAAATTGTCCTTTGAAATTGAATGTAAAACTTTTTTTTAGATCTAGCCGTTATGCCGTTATGGTTCTGTGATACAACCACTGAACCACAGGTCACAGATGATATGCAAAACATCGAATTTTGGTAGGATGATTATTATAAGAAAGTATTTAACTTGTATAATCCTATATTATAGGTTTTGAAATTGGAATATGTACTAGATTAGTGATTACGTACCTACTTATAGAATATTATGTAAATATTTCACTGATGAAGTGATGAATACATGTTTATATTATAATAATTATAAATTGTGTTGCACTGGTATCATTAATTATAATATATTTATACATATCAGTATACCACAAACTATATTCATATTATAGTCCGCGTATACATCCACTAACATATAAATATATACCTAATATATAATAATGTATATATTAATATATTATTATGTTTATAATATTGTATTGGTAAATTTTGATTAAGATGATAATAAATTATCTATTCAATGTTACTCAAATTGATGATTTATTACCAATTTGCATGAATTAATACATTCAAATATTCAATTATTACAAGCATATAACTGAGGTAAATTGAGATAGTGGCAAAGAACAACTGAAAATTGAAATGTTAAAAAGGTGGATAAGTTGTAATTATGATCATGCTGATGTCAATGTATTTGAATTCAATGATAAATCATATTGTGAACGAAAAACGATTCTGATCAGTGTCGGCCTGGGATCTAAAGGGCTCAAGAGGCAAATTATTCAAAGGGCCTCTCAAAAATACCAAACCTCAAAAAATATCTAAAAAAAAATTTATAGATATTTATCACATAATATGGATTGATATATATATAGTAATATAATATCGATAAGACATCACAGTACATATTTCAACATAATTATAGATTCTAAAATTATCATATAATTTTATTATTACCGTGGACTGAGATAATATTATGATGTTAGCAGTGCCGCATTTAGACATTTTGCGCCCCGGTGCAAAAAAAAAAATTGGCGCCCCCCAAGCCTGGTGAAAAAAAAATTGCTCCTCCCACGGAAAATATGTGAGGTAGATCCTCATTAACCTTTTAGATTTGAGCAAAGAAAACTAAGAAAAGAATATTTGTTTAAGAGTGCTTTTTTAAAAAAATATTGTTTAGTAATTGCTTGATCCCTCCGCAAAGATGCATTGGAATTTATGTCACTTAAACCTTGCTAATAATTTAGTATCATTAAGTTGTTTTTTTTTTAAACATATTTAAGTAGGTACTTCATGGATAAATAAAACAAAATTACATAAAACTATGCAAATAAATATTTTATATTTTATTGTATATAGTATTTTATAAAATTAATGTAACTATATACAGGGCTGGTAGTGGTTTAAGCTATTTAAA